TTCACCATGTTGACCAGGATGGTCTCGATCTCTTGACCTCGTGATCCACCCGCCTCGGCCTCCCAAAGTGCTGGGATTACAGGCTTGAGCCACCGCGCCCGGCCGTCACTATCTTTCTTGAGAAAATACAGTTATTTCTATTTTTTTAAATTACTTATGCCACAAGACTGAACACTTAAAAAGATCTAAAAATGGCTGAGTGCGGTGGCTCACACCTGTATTCCCAACACTTTGGGAGGCCAAGGCAGGTGAATCACAGGCTCAGGAGTTCCAGATCAGCTTCATCAACATGGTGAAACTCCCATCTCTGCTAAATTTGCTGGGTATGTTGGCACGTACCTGTAATTCCAGCTAGTCAGGAGGCTGAGGCAGGAGAATCATTTGAACCCAGGAGGCGGAGGTTGCAGTGAGCCAAGATCACACCACTGCACTCCAGCCTGGGCGACAGAGCAAGACTATGTCTCAAAAAAAAAATCTAAAAATGATAAACTGTATATTATCTATATTTTGCCACAATAAAAAAATTACTTATGGGCCAGGCACAATGGCTCATGCCTGTATTCCAGCACTATGGGAGGCCGAGGCAAGAAGACCACGGCTTGAATGCAGGAGTTTGAGACCAGCCTGGGCAACATAGTGAGACCCTGTAACAACAAATAATAAAAAATTCACTGGGCGTGGTGATTCACACCTGTAGCCCCAGCTACTTATGAGGGTGAGGTAGGAGGATCACTTGAGCCCAGGAGGTCAAGGCTACAGTGAGCTATGATCGTGCCACTGCACTCCAGCCTGGGCAACAGGGTGAGACCTGTCTCCAAAAAAATCTACAAAATTTGTTAATATACCTGGGAGTGGTGGCTCATGCCTGTAATCCCAGCACTTTGGGAGGCTGAGGAGGTTGGATCACATGGTCTGGAGTTCAAGACCAGCCTGGCCAACATGGTGAAACCCCATCTCTACTAAAAATACAAAAATTAGCTGGGCATGATGGCACATGCCTGTAATCGCAGCTATTCGGGAGGCTGAGGCAGGAAAATTGCTTGAAACAGGACCCAGGAGGCAGAGGTTGCAGTGAGCCAAGATCACACCACTGCATTCCAGCCCAGGCTACAGAACAAGACTCCATCTTTAAAATAAAAAAAAAATCAATGGATATAACCCACATAAACAAAAACTACTTGGGGTCAACAATTTTGTATGAAGTATCCTGAGATGAAAATATCAAAATATTTGAGAATGCAGCCAGGCACGGTGGCTCACACCTGTTATACTGGCACTTTGGGAGACCAAGGTGGGAGAATCGCTGGGAACAGGAGTTCAAGACCGCCTAGGCAATGTAGGTTGACACCCTGGAGACTGTCTCTCCAAAAATAAAAAAAGGAAGTGCTGATCTAGCCAATCCCCCCAAGCACGAATTCCCCACCCATGAATTTGAGAGAAACTTTACTTGGATGCCTCCATGGACAACAAAAGTCACTGCCATGGCTCACACCTGTAAGCCCAGCACTTTGGGAGGCCAAGGCAGGCAGATCACGAGGTCAGCAGTTAGAGACCAGCCTGGCCAATATGGTGAAAGCCGGTCTCTACTAAAAATACAAAAATTAGGCCAGGCACGGTGGCTCATGCCTGTAATCCCAACACTTTGGGAGGCCGAGGTGGGCGGATCATGATGTCAAGAGATCCAGACCATCCTGGCGAACAAGGTGAAACCCTGTCTCTACTAAAAATACAAAAATTAGCTGGGCGTGGTGGCGTGCGCCTGTAGTCCCAGCTACTCGGAAGGCTGAGGCAGGAGCATTGCTTGAACCTGGGAGGCAGAGGTTGCAGTGAGCCAAGATCGTGCCACTGCACTCCAGCCTGGCGCCTGGTGACAGAGCGAGACTCTGTCACACACACACACACACACACACACACACACACACACAGAGCCGGGCATGGTGGCACGCGCCTATAGTCCCAGCTACTTGGGAGGCTGAGGCAGGAGAATCGCTTGAACGCGGGAGACGGAGGTTGCAGTCAGCCGAGACTGCGCCACTGCACTCCAGCCTGGGCAACAGTCATCTCAAAAAACAAACAAAAAAAGAACCCTCATTACAAACGCAGGTAGGCACTGAAGGCCCAGGCAGCCCAGCCAACTCTGCCAGGGGAAAGGTCTTCCCTTTCACCCCACTTCCGCCCGGCTGTAACCTGTCACTCCTGTCCCCCCCGGCGCCCAGGCAGCCCCTCCTCGGATTCACACGCGGACAGCTGAAGGGAATGAGGAGCGGCCGCCGCCTGTGCGCCTGGCCCGCAGGTGACTGGGGACAGAAATGGCGGGAGCCTGAGCTAAGGCTGAATCCTGGGGAAATGGAGGCAGGGCCAGCAAAGGAAGGGGCCAGAGGGCGGAAAGCAGGAAGGCGTGTCCCTGAGACTGGGTGAGGTCCCGAGGGATCCGGATTTCTGCCCTTCCAGGCGCACGGCCAGGAGGCTTGGCCCGGTGGACGGGGCTCCCCGGAGGCCAATAGGCCGGCCTGGGGCTGAGGGGACCGTGAAGCCGCTGTGACCGGGTGCGGGGCGGGCTGACCGGGAGGGGCGTGAACACCGCGCGGGGGCCCGGTTTCGCGTCGGGTTCACAGTAGCGGGTCTGGCGAGGGACTGGCCGCGTTTGCTGAGGGTAACGCCCAAACCCAGGTCTTCCAAAGAAAGAGTTCAATCCGCACCGACACGCCGGGCTCGGGCAGCAGCTCCAGCGTGCAGGCCAAGCACAGGCGGGGGGACACAGGCAGCAGCCAGCGCGAGTCGTGCCGGTAATGGGCCCTCTCGAAGAGGAGAGCCGCCTCTTCGTTCCTTCTGGGCCCGGGAGTGCCCGCTGTCGCCGCCTGCCTCACAGCCATCTCGCTCGTCTCTCGCTGAGGCAGAACCTTTTCCCGCGCAGCCTGCAGGCATGCGCAGTTAGAGGACACGCTTGCGTCGTCGTGGAATGCGCCTGCGCGGACCCTGGAAGGCGCAGTCTCAGGCGAGCAGCTGCACCTGAGGCTGAGTGGCCGGCGCAGGGGCTCTGAGTCGTGTCTAACTAAGCCAAAAGCAGTATGCGCTTAGAACCCTGCAGGAATGTCTTCACCACACCCAAAGTTGAAAAGTAATTTTTTTTTTCACAGTCTCGCTCTGTTGCCGAGGCTGCAGTGCCGTGGCACGATCTCGGCTCACTGCAACTTCCGCCTCCCAGGTTCAAGCGATTTATCTGCCTCAGCCTCCTAAGTAGCTGAGACTATAGGCATGCACCACCACGCCCAGCTAATTTTTGTGTTTTTAGTAGAGACGGGGTTTCACCATATAGCTCTAACTCCTGACCTAGTGATTTGCCTGCCTCGGCCTCCCAAAATGCTGGGATTACAGGCGTGACCCACCATGCCCGGCCTGAGAATCTTAACTAATGCCTGATGATCTGAGGTGGAACAATTTGAGCTCCAACCTTCACCCCCACCCCCAGTCCCTGGGAAAAATGCCTTCCACGAAACCAGCCACTAGTGCCAAAAAGGCTGGGGACAGCTGCTTTATCCTTTCAGCCAGGTGTGGTGTCTCACACCAGTAATCCAGCACTTTGGGAGGCTGAGGTGGGCAGATTGCTTGAGCCCAGGAGTTCAAGACCAGCCTGGGCAAGATGGCGAGACCCATCTTGGGATGTCTCATCGACCTGTACTTTTTGTAGCTGTCTCTACAAAAAAAATACAAAAATAGGCCCGATGTGGTGGCTCATGCCTTTAATCCCAACACTTTCGGAGGCCGAGGCAGGTGGATCACCTGAGGTCAGTAATTCAAGACCAGCCTGGTCAACATGGCAAAACCCAATCTCTACTAAAAATACAAAAATTAGCCAGGCGTGGTGGCAGGTGCCTGTAATCCCAGCTACTCGGAAGGCTGAGGCAGGAGAATCTCTTGAACCCAGGAGGTGGAGGTTGCAGTGAGCTGAGATCACACCACTGCACTGCAGCCTGGTCGACAGAGCAAGACTCCATCTCAAAAAGAATAAAGAGTTTGAGACCAAAAGTAAAAATAGAAGTAAAAAAAAAAGAGAGAGAGAGAGAAAGAAGTTTGAGACCAGCCTGGGCAACATGGCAAAACCCCACTTCTAGTAAAAATTTAAAAATTTGCCAGGCATGGTGGCTCATGCCTGTAATCCCAGCTACTCAGGAGGCTGAGGCAGGAGAATCACTTGAACTCATGAGACAAAGGTTGCAGTAAGCCAAGCTCAAGCCACTGCACTCCAACCTGGACCACAGAGTGACACTCCATCTCAAAAGAAAAATTAGTGTCCCATGTAGAGCACCACCCCTCCCCATAAGCAACGAAGGCTGTTGGAGTATCCTGCCTTAATCAGGATTAGCTTTTGGACAGGGCAGGAAAGGACCTCAGTGGACTCTACTGTGAGGAGGCTGGAGGGGACATTTTTTGGAGAGAACACTGGGGTCGCCCACATTCCCTAAATCTTCACAACCACAGAGTGGAAGTGGCTTCTACCCCACCCACAAAGTATCCCAAACCCCAAAAGGGAGTGCTTAGAAAACATGTGCCATAGAAATTAGAACCCCACAGGGCCCAAATGACCAATTTATTAGAGGCTTTGTGGGGATCAGGACAGTCTCAAACCTTTTCTAACATGTCCTGAGGACTCTGGGCCTGAGTCTACTTTTTAAAGCCATGCTGAAAGAGAAAAAATCTCAGATGCTTCATAAAATCAAACTTTTTGGAGCCTGGTGTATTCTGTGGAGCCCCATTTGGATTTCCAGGTGCCCCCTGGCCCTGGGATCTTTCTGTCTTAGGAAGGGTGGCTCCAGTACAGCAGTGACTTCGTGGCTGAAGTTCCCTCTGTGAAGCAGTGTGGCCTCCAATCCTGTCCTCCCCTGCACGTGAATTACCCACTTTGGGAAGCAGAGTATAATCAGGTTCCCTCAGGGTCAGGTTAGGGGCTGAGTGCTTGCACTTGGCAAGCTGTGGAGACCAAGACATCTTGTTCAGAAGGGTCAGGCTCAGCTTTCCCCCCACAGAGTGGAGCCTCCCTCTGAAGCTGACAGGTTCTGCAGAATGGCAGGAAGGCTGCTGCCCAGCCCCTCTGCACCCTGTAGGTTCCAGGCTTCCTCTTCTCCAGTATGGGGGCTGCTGGCATTTGAGTCTGTGGGGCTTAGAGACCTCCCAGGATGTGCATTCCTTCCTCCAGTGGATGTAGTATGGCTTGGAGGATGAGGTCCTGACTCTGCTGGTAGCCCTTTCTGCCAGCTGGGAGACCCCTGGCCTGATCATTTTCCAGCCCCTGCTGTTCTCACTGGGAGGCTCTCCGACCCTTTGTTGGCCACACCAGCTCCTGGATCTCGCTGCGGGCCTGGGGGTCCTGGGAGCCAAAGGCTCAGCCCTGGCAGGAGCTTTCTGGATCTCCTGTGGTTCTCTGGCGCCCTCTGGTGGCCGGACTCTCCTGGCCTTTTCAGGCTGGATGGAAATGCCCATCCGCTCTGACCTGTAGGGTCTGTTTCCCTCCAGAGCTCTGGCTTGTGTAGGAAGTTTCGAGCTTTTTCTGTCTGGGCGCTGAACCCTCTGGAACCTTTCTGGGGACTTAAGGCCTGGTGGGGAGCCCTGGGCCTCACAATACCTTTCCTGCTGCGCTTGGAGCTCCTGGCCCGTGTTCAGTCCAGGGAGCCTTGCCCCAGCAAGGGGCAATGAGCAAGATCCTAAGAAGTTAAACAGGAAATAGGACTCCAGGATCCGCCGGGGAAGACCCCACTTCAGGTGTGCAATCCTCCTCCGCATCAGGGATTCCAGAAGCAGTTGTTTGCTCTTCTTGAGGACTGTCCCCTTGGGCAGGACAGTGAGGACAGTGGGAGCACCCACCAGAGCTATGGCAGCTTTTGGGTCTGGGCCACACAGCACACAGGGACAGGCAGAGGGCATGCCCAAGGGAGCAGTCAGAGATGGAGGGTTCCGGTATTGCCGAGTCAGGCTGGGGACCTTCTCTGGATCTACCCCTTTGTCCCTTTGTTGTCTTCTGCAGGATTCAGGTTGGGCCTGCTGGGAGGCTGGACTGATCCCCACTCTGTGATCCCTGGCAGGGGTTGTGCCCTGGCTGGCCACATGCTCTCCCTCCCCACCCACCAGCAAGAAGACTTCACCCCGGTGGGGGAGAGGATCCATCTCAGGACAGGGAGAAGAGATGAAACTATTTACAACCACTGCCTGTTCCTGTTCCATGGTCCCATGTCCAGAACCAGAGAAGGCTGGGGGCCTTGGTAGGTTGTGTTTTCTGCCTGTGGGTCTCTCATCCCCAGAACAGTCAACTTGGAGACTGTCCCTCACAGCATCCTTTCCACTGACCAGGTCCTTGTTTCCTTCCCTTGGTGCTGGAGGCCCTCCAACATCCCAATCTGTGCACTTTCTCTGGCTTCCTATATCCTGGAATTCTGCAACATCCTCAGCTCCACCCTCATTCTTATTTTCTTGCCCTTGTACCTGGATCTTTTCATCAATTTCACCTCTTAATTGTCCCTGGTCATCTCTGGCAGAAGCCTGGCTCTCTGAGCCATCATCACTTGTGGTCCCACTCAGGTTTCTCTTCCCTTGTATTTGAATTTCTTCATCATTCCCACCTCCACCCTGTTCCTGGTTCTTCCACTCTGATGAAAGGGTCTTTCCATTACCTTTACTTTTTAACAGTCTCTGGTTCTTTGCTCTCAGCCTCCAGTTTTTTCCCCTAAGTCTCCAGATCGTTCTACCATCCTCATTTCCAGCCTTTCTCTGGCTTCTCTTCTGTGATGCCTGATTTTCTGTAACATCCTTTCCAGTCAGCTCCCAGTTCCTCCTCCCTGGTGACTGGCTGTCTCCAATTTCACTATCAGACTGTCCCTGGTTCTCTCTCTTAGGTCTCTGAATCTTTACACTGTCCTCACCTCCGGGTTCTCTCTGGTTTCTCTCCACCGGAGCCTGAATTTCTGTTCCACTCTCACTTCCCATCGGCTTCTGGCTCTTCCACTCTGATAAAAGGATCTTTCTACCAAGATCACTTCTAAACAGACTCTGGGTTTCTTTCCCAGGTGCCCAGGTCTTTACACCATCCTCCCCTCCAGCTTCTCTCAGGTTTCTCTTCCCTTGTATCTGAATTTCTGCCCCATTCTTACCTCCAGTCTGCTCATCTTTCTTCCATTCTTCTGACTGAGTTTCTCCATCAACTTGACTTGTTAATTTGCCCCAGTTCACTGACTCAGATGTCTGGGCATGTCCACAATCCTTGCCTCTAGTATGTTCCTGGTTCTTTCCCTTTGGTCTGTGAATCTTTTCACTAAATTCACTTCCTGACTGACACTGATTTTTTTTCCCAAGTTCCTGGGTCTCTTTTTCATCCTCACCTTTAACCTCTCTCCTCCCTAGTGACTGAATGTCTGTACCATTCTCTTCTCTAGGTGGCTTATTCTTCTTCCTCCCTGCTGAATGAGTCTCCACATCAGTTTCACCATTTAATTGTTCATGGATCTCAGCCTCAGGTGCCAGGATATTTGTACCATCCTCACGTCCTTCCTTTCTCTGATCTCTCTTCTCTGATGCCTGAATTTCTGCTCTATCTTCACCTCCAATCCAATTCTGATTCTCCCAACATAGTATCTCAAGTTCTCTGTCAATTTCACTTGCTACTTGTCTCCAGTTTCCCCACCATGGGGCCTGGATCACCACCCAGTCCTTCTCTCTTATCTCCCTGAGCTGCTTCCTGCTAGGTATTTGGGTTTCTTTAGCATTTTCACCTCTTCTCAGGCCTTTATTTCCCCACCCCACTTGAATTTCATGACTTAATTGTTTCTGGCTCTCTCCCCCAGATGCTTGGGTCTTCCTAGCTTTCTCACGTCCACATCGATCCTGT